GGAGGTAGCGTCAATACTCGCAGATGTAGGTCTGACCCCACCTGCCTGCCATCCCGGGAGTGGCTCAGGCCGCTCTGCTTCTGCTCTGTGGGGCTGACTTCATCCTGTCGCACATGGGAGCAGGACAGACTCAGAGGGTCGTCCTGGCCCCGCCGGGGATGGACTGCAGCGTGTGGGCGCTCTGGGGCTGGCGGTGACAGTGCCCCCCTCCCCAGGCCCCTGGAACGTGGCTGGCGCAAGCAGAAGGAGGGCGGTGCAGCGGCCCCGCAGCCCAAGGTGCGGCTGCGGCAGGAGGTGGTGAGCACGGTGGGGCAGCGGCGGGGCCAGCGCATCGCGATGCCGGTGCGCAAGTTGTTTGCCAGGGAGAAGCGGCCGTATGGGCTGGGCATGGTGGGCCGGCTAACCAACCGCACTTACCGCAAGCGAATCGACAGCTATGTCAAACGCCAGATCGAGGACATGGACGACCACAGGTAGGCCACGAGGGGAGGGGTTTAGGGCAGGCAAGGCTCCAGGTGGGCGCGGGCGCTCCAGGTTGGGGATGGCGCCTCTGCTGACGCTTTGCCCCGCAGGCCCTTCTTCACCTACTGGCTCACCTTCGTGCACTCGCTCGTCACCATTCTAGCCGTGTGCATCTATGGCGTGGCGCCCGTGGGCTTCTCACAGCACGAGACTGTAGACTCGGTGAGCCCGGTGCCCTCCGGGTGCCCTCCCGGCCCCGCCTTGCGAAGTCTGGACTCCCTCCCGCCCACTCTGACGGGAGGGGGCGCGACCGAGCCCTGTCTTACCTTTCCACCTCCCAGGTCCTGCGCAACCGTGGGGTTTACGAGAATGTCAAGTACGTGCAACAGGAGAACTTCTGGATCGGGCCCAGCTCGGTGAGGGCGGGGCAGGGCGGGGCAGGGCGGGGCCCGTTGAGGTGAGGGCGGGACGGGACGGGGGGGGGCGGGGCGTGGGGGTGGGGTGGGGTGGGCCGGACAGGGCGGGGCAGTGCGAGGGCAGGGCGGGGCCCGATGAGATGAGGGCGGGGCGGGGCGAGGCCCTGGGCTCGCCGAGGCCCAGCCGCAGCTGCGCGTCGTCCTCCCCGCAGGAGGCCCTCATTCACCTGGGTGCCAAGTTCTCGCCGTGCATGCGCCAGGACCCTCAGGTGCATAGTTTCATCCATGCTGCGCGCGAGCGCGAGAAGCACTCGGCCTGCTGCGTGCGTAACGACAGGTCGGGGTGTGTGCAGACCTCGGAGGAGGAGTGCTCGGTGAGTACCCACCCGCAACTCAGTTCGCACCGTTGTTTGCACCTTGTTTGTTTCCTTGGGACTTCAGGCAGAGCTGGTTGAGTTGTCCTAAAAGCCTGGTTCTCAGCACACGATGCTGGCCGTCTGTGCAAGGCCCCTTGCCTCAGTCTTTCCTTCTTATCCCATCCCTCCTCCATCTCCCGCTGCTCCCCCTGCAGACTGTGTGTCTTTAATTTTATTGTTATTTTTTTAAATGGCTGACCGGCAGGGCTTGGGGGATCTTAGTTTCTGGACGAGGGATCCAACGCAGGCCCTGGCAGTGAAAGTACCAAGTCCTAACCACTGCACCACCAGGGAATTCTGCATGTTTTTAATTTGGGTGTGGCCTTCCCAAAAACTTCCATCTTGTTTTTGGGCACCTGTCATAACTTTATGTAAGTGGTATTGCCTTACTTTTCTCACTAAATTTTAAACAGTTTCATCCAAGTTTTTATCATCTTATGTGGAGCTCCCAGTGTGTACCAGTTGCCTAATTTTGGGCACCAGTGGTTTCTGTTTTCAAGCTAATAGGAGCTATGCTGTTGAACTTACAACAATCTCCCAACATGCGAGCAGTTTCCCGAGTGCAAATTCATGGTGGGGCTGCAGGGCACGCGGGTGTGTAGAGCCAGAGGGAGGAGCTCAGGGTCTCTGATCCCGGCCTCCTGGAGACAGTGGGATGGTGGGCTCTGACCAGGGCTGAGCCTGTGTCCTCCCACAGTCCACGCTGGCAGTGTGGGTGAAGTGGCCCCTGCATCCCAGTGCCCCAGACCTTGCTGGCCAAAAGAGGCGTTACGGCTCTGTCTGCCACCAGGATCCCAGGTCAGTCCTGCTGCGACCCCCACCTCTGTTCCTCCATGTCTCCCTTGGGAGTGGGGGTGGCGGTGGAGGGAGGTATAGTTGCTCTCCTTATTGTCCAGTAGGGCGGGAGGGTGCTGAGCCAAGGGCACAGAGCGAGGTCTGACCACATCCTGGGCTCATGCAGGGTGTGTGATGAGCCTTCTTCTGAGGACCCCCATGAGTGGCCAGATGACATCACCAAGTGGCCGGTGAGCTGCTGTGGAGGGGTTGTTCGGGAGTCACCTTACCGTGTCAGGGAGGAATCCACACCTCATCCATCAGTGATGCCAGAGTTCTCCCCCGAGGGACCACCACGTTTTCAGATGCTCTGCCCTGGCCTTCAGCCACCCGGTCCATCCACTACAGCCTCCCTCTCTAAGTAGAACCAGGTGGAGCCTTAAGAGTCAAATGACATGATGCCAGTTTGACAGATGCCCTAACTGAGGCCCAGGGTTTGTGACCTGCTTGAGGCCAACAGGGGCCTGTCTCCTACCCTAGGAGCCTGTCCATCTCTGCTCCAACCAAGCGTGGTGTGGGGCCCAAGGTTAGGGGTGACCTTGACCCAACTCATCCCCATTTGTGACCCAGATCTGCACCAAAAACAGTGCTGGGAACCACACCAACCACCTGCACATGGACTGTGTCATCACGGGCCGGCCCTGCTGCATCGGCACCAAGGGCAGGTAGGGGTGCCCTGGTCCTGGGCACAGAGCGTCGCTCTGGGGCTGAGGCCTACTCCTGTATCCAGTCCAAAATGACCCAGGATCCCGGGGGGCTTGGGGTGAGGAAGGGGCCGGACCTATCCAGGCCAACAAGGTGGGCGAGTGGGGCCGAAACCTGAGCCTGGGAGTCCTCCCAGCTCTGGCCTGACTTTCCAGGTGTGAGATCACCTCCCGGGAGTACTGTGACTTCATGAGGGGTTACTTCCACGAGGAGGCCACCCTCTGCTCCCAGGTAGGCCTCTGGGGAGGGCCCCTCCCCATGCTGTGGCCGTGGCGGGCGGCAGGCCCTTACAGTCCCTCTGCACAGGTGCACTGCATGGACGACGTGTGTGGGCTCCTGCCCTTCCTCAACCCCGAGGTGCCCGACCAGTTCTACCGCCTGTGGCTGTCCCTCTTCCTGCACGCTGGGCAAGTGACACCACGTGGGCTGTGGGGGCTGGGGGGGGGTCCCCGGGACCCCAGGGCTGGCTGGTCAGCGCTCCTTGCTGCCCCCTCCCCACAGGGTCTTGCACTGCCTGGTGTCCGTCTGCTTCCAGATGACCGTCCTGCGGGACCTGGAGAAGCTGGCGGGCTGGCACCGCATCGCCATCATCTACCTGCTCAGTGGCGTCACTGGTAACCTGGCTAGCGCCATCTTCCTGCCGTACCGGGCTGAGGTAAGGCCGCCCGCCCCACGTGCCGCCCGGCAGACCCGTGTCCCTGCTGTGCCCCGTCCCGCCTGGGGCTCCTGTCCCGATCCACTCTGGGCCAAGGGAGGGGGGCGGGCGGCCAGCTCCCACCCACTGGCTCAGGGTCACTTGCACCCCCAGGTGGGCCCTGCCGGCTCGCAGTTTGGCATCCTGGCCTGCCTCTTCGTGGAGCTCTTCCAGAGCTGGCAGATTCTGGCGCGGCCCTGGCGCGCCTTCTTCAAGCTGCTGGCTGTGGTGCTCTTCCTCTTCACCTTCGGCCTGCTGCCCTGGATCGACAACTTCGCTCACATCTCGGGCTTCATCAGTGGCCTCTTCCTCTCCTTTGCCTTCCTGCCCTATATCAGCTTCGGCAGGTTTGACCTGTACCGCAAGCGGTGCCAGATCATCGTCTTTCAGCTGGTCTTCCTGGGCCTGCTGGCCGGCCTGGTGGTCCTCTTCTACTTCTACCCCATCCGCTGCGAGTGGTGTGAGTTCCTCACCTGCATCCCCTTCACCGACAAGTTCTGTGAGAAGTACGAGCTGGATGCTCAGCTCCACTGAGCCGGCGGGCGCGGGGCTGTGTGCCCACGGCCGGAGCCAGGCCTGCGGTCAGGACTCTGCCCAGGAGCCCTGCTTCCCACACACTTTGCTGTGTTCACTGCTGTTGAACCCCTTGTGCTTCCGGGCATTTATCACACTAGTTCCCGAGATTACCTTCTAACTAGCCTTCTGACGACCACCTCATGTGGCCAATAAACAGACCGGGAGCGTTTTAGCTGCCACTAACTCAACCAGACCTGCCACCTCCTTTCTGGTTTCCAGCTGGGTGCTGTGGAAGGACGTCCTTCGGGCCCCAGGCCTCCCACTCACAAGTTCCCAGAACAGGGCATTCATGTCAGGTACACCTCCCAGGGAAGTCCTCGGCCAGGTGCACACACCCTGTCCCCCTTCTTTAGAGTGACTGGTAGGTGACAAATGGACAAGGGCCCAGGAATATCACACTCCCCACGCACACCTGGAAGCAGCCCACAGCAGCCAGGCCACGTCCCTTTCCAGAAGCCAGGCACCCACGGGCTGAAGCTGGAGGCCCTGACCAGGCCGGGCTCATACGCCCTTGTTTCCCACAAGTAGAAACAGGGCCGGCACTCTGCTTTTACTCCCTCCTCGCTGCAGAGATGACAGGACAGGTGTGTATGGCTTGGGGAGTGGGGTGGACAAGGGCTCAGGTACAGCATCCTGACGGTGTGACCGCCAGCAGGGTCCCCGCCTGTGCCCCCCCATGGGGACATGACTTTCCAAACCTCAAAGCAAACAGGGTTTATTCTGTACACAGGGCCAGGCCCATAGCCCTGGGATCAGGGTTCACTTGAGAGTCCAGTGAGTCCAGCTGGGGTCAGGCTCTCTCCCACCCGTCTGGGGACAGGGCACAGTGGCCCAAGGCTTCCTTCTGCCAGGGAAGAGCTCAGCCGCCCGCACACAGAGCTGTCCAAGTCTGGAGATTCATTTCTGTCTCAGCTTTTTGATGAAAGACACCTCATCCCGATTCCGGATACCGTAACTGAAAGAGAAGGACAGGCACAGAGTCCAGCCTACAGAAGGGCCATCTGTGACTCCTCCTCCGAGGCTTGTGCGGAATGAGAGAGGCAAGGCGGGAAGAGCGTGGTGTTGGGGAGGTGAGGAGGGGGCAGCGCCATGCTCCCCCGCCACGCACACTCATAACCCTCTCTCCTAGCTCTGCAGCCTGAACTGCCACAGCTCCTCTGCCTCCTGTCCTCCGGGCAGGGAGGCCTCCAGGGAGTTCCTTGCAGGACAGCCTCAGTCCAGTCAGGGACTCTCATACACTCCCCAGGAATGGATTTAAGACCCTTCCTTTCTTAAAGAGCCTCTGGAGGAAACCCCGGCCCTATGGCAGAGCCTGGGGAACAAGAGGGCCACAGATCACATAGCTCCCTGGAGCTCAAGATGGAGCCTGAACTTACTCTCGGAGTTTCTTCCGGTCTTCTGTGAGCTTCTCTCCCGCGGAGGTCAAGTGGTATGTCCTCCACACGTAGGACCTATAGATGGGAATTCAGTAAACCACAAGCAGGGTGATTCAGGAGGCTGAGAGCACTCAGGCAAGGAGCCGGCAACAGCTCCTCTAACCAGGGAAGCCACGTCCAGACACACTGGGCACGCCCTAAGGTGTCCTCATGTGCAGCTACCCAGCTGCCCGTGTGGTAATGCAGAGGAGGAGCAGTTGGGGCAGGGCCCGGAGGCACAGGAGCACCTGCCCTTTTTAAAGGCTTGGGACAGGGCGCTCGATGCTCTAGGTTGCATCCTGAGCAAAGCCCAGGAGATGAAAAGGCTAGTTCGTCTCCAGCACGTCCTCCCCATCTCCCAGGAAGGGCTGAGGGAGGAGCCGGGGCTCCACTCACCAGCTGATGTGCTGAATGCCTCCCTCGCGCTCCTGCCTGAGCTGCACGTATCTCTGGATGGCCTTCTTCAGGTCCAGGACTGTGGCGTTCTGGACCACAACCACAGCTGCACAAGCGGGAGAAGATCCCCAGTGTCAGGTGGCAAGAGGAGAGCCCAGAAGCTCTGTTGAGTCCTGTTACTTCCCAAGGCTCAAGTCTGGGCAGGTGTGGGTGTGCCCACCAGCCCTGGGCACAGCCCGGAGTTTCCACCCACCAGCCCTGCTAACATCCTCTCCTGTGAAGGTTCAGACTGCTCGGCCTGAGGGGGAGGGCAGCACTTACGCATGACTTCTCCATCCATCTTGCACACTCGGACTGTCATTGCTTGGCCGTATTCTAATGCTATTTGGGAATTAACCTCTTCTAAAGTAACCTGGAAAAGACCAAGGATGGAGGTGGGACCTCTCTTCACCACCCTAAACAACAAAGGCAGACAAGATGACAGCGTTTATAAAGTTAGGCAGAACCTTCCTGAAGTCTGAGGAGAAAGGAAAACTGGGAAACATTGATCTTTTATTTTTTACTTGAAAATTACATTATTTTTGTTTACCCCAGGCTTCTGCACACAAATTTAGGTTGTTTTTTAAAACACTGCTGACATGTCCTAACTAGACGGTTTTTCGGTGCCCCTTTAAATTCCGCGCCCGAGGCCAGAGCCTCGCTCGCCTCCAGGCCCGGCAGGAGCCTAGACGCTCCGCTACGCTCGGAAACGCCTTCCCGAGGCCGAGGCCGCAAACCCCAGGCCCCATGGTCCGTCCGCGCCCCGACCCCCGCCCGGGGGAACGACGCGGCCCTCGCGCACCTGGATCGGAAGGTCGCAGAGCAGCGGGTCCTGCACAACCATGGCCAGGCCCTCCTGGAACACGTCCACCGCCTCGGAGTGCGGCAGCGCCTCCTCCTCATCCTCCTCGTCGTCCTGCGGCTCCGGCCGCGCAGCGACCCGCGGCTCCTCCAGGGCGCCGAGTTTCCAGCCGGCTCTGCCGGCACAGCCGCTTCGCCCGGCAGAGGAGGGCGCGCACGCGCCGGGACGGCCACCGTAGCCCCGCCTTCGAGGCGTCGGTGGGCGGGGCCACTCGAAGACCAGTGAGAGATGAGCTACAGGGAGCCGGCCCGCCACTGCCCTCCCTGGGGGCGGGGAGGCGGCGTGATTATTGGTGGGCTGGCAGGGCGGGGCGGGAACCAATGGGCGCTCGGAACTCCGGCTTGGCCCTGCCGCGGGCTCTGCCGGGAGCGCCGGGCCGGTGGCGGCCATGCTGCTCTTCTGCCCGGGCTGCGGGAACGGGCTGATCGTCGAGGAGGGTCAGCGCTGCCACCGCTTCGCCTGCAACACCTGCCCCTATGTGCACAACGTCACGCGCAAGGTGGGCGCTCGCAGCGCGGAGGCCTACGCTCTCGCCAGGCGCCCGCGCGACCCGGGCATTCCCCGCCTCCTTCCCCGCCTGGATCGGCGTCCTGCGGGCCCTGCCGGCCGCCCCGAGGCGCTCCGCCCGCCACGCGCTTCTCCCGGGGCCTGTGCAGCGCTTTTGCGCCCGGGTCGCTCTTCCCCTCGGTATTCGTGTGACTCGTCGCTCGTGTTTTTACCCGAAGGATAATTTAAAATTGCAGCCTCTTTCTCCACCTCGCTCTTCTCCTAATCTTATATTTTTTTAAATAGGACTCATTTGCCTTCCATTGCGGTTTTTAATTTACTTGTGCGCCTTGTTTGTTAACACTAGGGTATAGGCTGTAGGAGGGCAGGCGTTTTTCAGTTTTTGTTCACTCATGTTCTAGTCTGAACATCTGGAATATATTGGATATTCATTACGGAATGATACGTACTGTGTTATAACTCTCTTACTTTCCACCGATAATGCGTCTTTCCTTTTTAGAACACCTTTAATAATTTTTAGAAGTAGAGCACGCTGGTGTTACCTCATTCTTAATGTTTATATACTGCTCCACCATGTAGCTGTGCTGTGGGAGTTTAGAGTCTCAAATTGTGAAGGGTAACATTTCAAGGACAGCTGTTAAAACTTGGAAAATAGTTAGAAAAACCTCTGTCTGGGAAGAGTGGCTGGGCCATCCTGCCAACTGCTCCACTTTGGCCTTAGTCGTCTTTGGTTCCCTTGTTTCAGTGACCAAGTATTGTAGAGGTGGGAGAACAGGAGGGTCACACCAGAGCCCTTTTTCACTTCCTGGTCTGTTGCTTCATCCAGTCCTCACAGAGTCTTTTCTATGGGGACATCCAATTGTGCATCCTCCTGATTCACAGGGAGATTTCCTGCTCTGTGACAGCAGGAACCGGGCTTTTGTTTAGTGTTCGTCCATTCGTGTTGAACGCAGGAAGCAGAGTCTGGGGTGACATTTGAAGGCATGATTTGGTGACTTGGCTTTGTACTGTTCACTTAGAATACAAAGTCTGTACTGTAAGTACAGAGAGTCTGAAGACCTGCTGTTTGTTGTTTGTTAGGTAACAAATCGGAAGTATCCAAAGCTGAAAGAAGTGGATGATGTGCTTGGTGGAGCAGCTGCCTGGGAGAATGTTGACTCTACTGCAGGTGAGAGGGAAAACCTTTTCTATTTAAGAGCTGTGGGTAAGGATGAGGCCGCTGGCTGTGCCACTGCATAGCAGAGTCTGTGATGTATCAAGTGGGCTTCTGAGACTAGAAATTATTTTCTTCTCTAATGTATTTGTTATGCAAACAGTATTGGCACAAGCTTTGGAGTAATTCAGACCTGAGTTAGAGTCTCAGGGTGACCTCATATTGATGCTGATTGGAATAATTAAAAAATCAGTCTAAGGATTTTGTTCTAATATAGTTTTTTTTTTAAAGTCAAAGATAGAGTATTAAACTGCCCTAAATATTCTGTAAAGTAAGTATTTGAGTCTTGATTCATTTCTGATAGCAACAGATGTGACTAAGAAAGGAAAGAGAGCCCTAGACACGACCAGTCCAGAGAGGAGGAGGAGCTTAGTGTGATTAGGACTGTCTTTTTACCCCAGAGAGGACCATCCAGATCTGCTCTGTTAAAAATCTCGCATGAGCAGAATTTGTCACTGGGAGGTGAATTATTCACCAAAATGGTGTCTGAGTGTTTGAAAGAGTTTCCATCAAGAGCAAGGTTTTTGAATTGAAATCTCAGTGAAAGTAAAATTAAAAAAGAAAAAAGTACAATCATGATCACAGGTCTCCTTCCCTCAGTTGTGAGAGCACAGTGGGAATGACACCCCCTTGCAGGAACACCTTGCAGGGCACCCCAGGCAAGGGATACCAGTCGAGCTGGGGAGTGTCTGCTGCTGGGTTTCACGAAACGTACACTTCTAACAAGCACATTGATCACGAGCATCGTTTGTTTTTTTTAGTAACTGTGGGTCACTGTTTGTTTTTCTTGTTGCCAGAGCCATGTCCCAAGTGTGAACATCCTCGAGCCTATTTCATGCAGCTTCAGACCCGCTCTGCAGATGAGCCCATGACCACTTTCTACAAGTGCTGCAACGCTCAGTGTGGACACCGATGGCGGGACTGAGGCCAGGATGGCCCAGCTGCGTCAGCGTCTGCGTGCTTTACTGCCCAGGGTGTATTCCCAGCTGCGAGTGTGAACCGTGTGTCCTGAGGGTCTTGGCTGGTGTGGTGGAAAGCTGACCCTTTAAGGGTGGCTGCCCAGGGTGTCAGGAAGTATAGCCCGCCTCCCAGTCAGCAGATTAACTCCTTGATGTACAGGATGTCCAAATTCTGCCCATGCTCTGTGTGGACAGAAGTATCCATAACTGAGTGTCTCCTGTTTAAGGTCCTGTTCTTCCTCTTTTATGTTTGTTGGGCAATTGATATTCTGCTACCATCAGCCAATACTGTTTAATATTTACATTGTTTGTATAACTAATGAAGTAAATCTTATTAGTTTAGTACATTAGATGCCTCTCAGTATTTAACTGTTAATTGCAAACTTATTTAATCAAAATTTATCTTGAATATTTAATTAAAGTTAACTAACAGTCTTGTTATCATCTTCTCAGTGTTTTAAATGCCTTAAGAAGTAGACATCAAACGTTAAACCCAAAACCGACTGCTATATTTAGGGCCAAACTGGTTATAGAATTGCTATGGATTTCTATTTATTACTTGTATTTTTGTTTCTTAGAATTGCAGTACATTTATTAGATTGTATGTTTTTTTAATACTTTCTATGTCCATCTTTCTACTCTAAAGAGAAAAAGGACACTCTAGGCTCACAGGGGCAGGATTTTGGTTATTGATAGATTTGTTTCTTGCTCAGGACCTCAAATTTAATTGCTTCCAAATCTCTCTCTTTATTTTGTTGAATTATAGTTTACTTCCCTTGTGGCTCAGCTGGTAAAGAATCTGCCTGCAATGTGGGAGATCTGGGTTCAGTCCCTGGGTTGGGAAGATCCCCTGGAGAAGGGAACGGCTACCCACTCCAGTATTGTGGCCTGGAGAATTCCATGGACTGTATAGTCCATGGGATTGCAATGAGTTGGACACGACTGAGCGACTTTCACTTTATAGTTGACTTACAATGTTGTCTTAGTGTCTGGTGTACAGCGTAATCAGTTATATGTACATGTATATATATAGACACACACACGAGTGTACATGTATTCATATATGTATACATATTCTTTTTTGTATGTTGTTCCATTATGATTTATTACAGGATTTTGAATATGGTTCCCTGTGCCAAATTGCTTAATAAGTTTCACTTATGAAATAATGGGACTTAAATTTAAGTCTTTTATACAGATTCTTGCTTTTTTCCAACTTTTTATTACTTTTTCGTTTTTGTCCTGTTGTGTAGCATGCAGGATCTTAGTTCCCCATCCAGGGACAGAACCTGTCCCCCTGTATTGAGAGCATGGAGTCTTAACCGCCAGTAAAGTCCCAGAGTTTTACTTTTTTGAAACTTCTTGTTTAATATAACTTGTATAATTTGTATAATTCAGGAAATTATTATTTTTATTATTTTAATTTTATTTATTTGTTTTTGTCTGCGTGCGGTCTTCTCGTTGCGGTGGCTTCTTGTTGCAGAGCATGGGCTCTAGGGTGCGTGGCTCGTGGACTCTAGAGCCTGGCCTCAGCAGTGCTGGCACACAGCCTCAGTTGCCCCAGGCATGTGGGGTCTTCCGGGACTAGGGATTGAACTCATGTCCCCTTCATTGGCAGGCAGATTGTTAACCCCTGGACCACTAGGGAAGTCCACTTTTTGAGAAATTATTAATCTTCTTTTGAAAAGATTATGGACCGCACGTGTATTTTCCTGTTAGAACGCGTTGACCAGATCTTGAGTGCATTGTCTGCAGCTGTTTCTGTTTCAAAACAGTTTGTACTGTTTTTGCAAAGGTGTGTTTGTCCTGGGGTGTTACTTTAGTGTCTTCCTATGCCATCAGTTATGTTTCCTCAGGGGTCTGTTCTCGTTTTCACTTGTTCTTGGGGGCAGCCTGGTCAGCGGTGAAGGCCACGCCCTATGAAGTTAGCCTGCCTGCCTGTCAGTTGTTGAACCTCTTTCATTTTCTCCTGTGTAAAACGAAGATGGTAATAGTCTATTTTGGGGGTTCACAACTTTTTCTGTAAAGAATCAGTATTTTGGGTTTTGTGGGTCAAGAGTCAGAATCAAGAAATATGCAAGGAAGTGAGCTCTCACAGAGAAGCTCAGAATGTAACCCTGCGGTGTTTGTTACACAAGTCCCTTGATGAAATGAATGCACACCATTTTGTGTAACCGAGTTCATGTTTCTTTTTTTTTTTCATTTATTTTTATTAGTTGGAGGCTAATTACTTTGCATCATTGCAGTGGGAGTTCATGTTTCTTGTTAAAGTTGCACATGTGCGTCTCCTCACCCTGGTTCAGGGCGGGGGGCAGATGCAGGGCACTGTGACGTTGCTGACGGGTCAGTAGCTGCCAGTGGTGAGAGACACAGGTGTCCTCAGCGTGTTTGCCGGTGAGCAATGCAGTGACGAGTTACAGGCTGTGGACATGTTCTCCACAAGGCTGCCAACTGTGTGACCTTGCGCTGCACCTGTGCTCACCCGGCAGCAGGTTCCAGCTGCCCGTCTCCCGAGCTCACGTTTTCTCGGCTTTGCAGGTGCTCCCACGTGAGTTGCTAGTTGCTCCCTTGATCTGTGCCCAGAAGCTCGTTCTTCAGTCCCTTCCCCGCTCAGCATTGAGGCATCGATGCCTCGCAGAAGTGGCAGAGGGCTGGGTCCAGTGACGTTTGGAGCCGTTGGAAAGGCGCTTCAGGTTATCTGCCTCATTTTTAATTCATGTGACGTTGCTCCCAGTGTCCTTAGCTTTCAGAACAGCTGTTCTTGACCAAAAACGGATGGTCTTAAGTGCATCTCGTCTGGACACACTTCCTCAGCTCTGTGATCAGACACAGTTAAGTCACCCTCAGTGGCTTTCCTTCCTGGGTTAACGATGGGTCCCTGGGAAACTTAATTCCGTTGCCTCATTTTTATTTTTGTGACGGAATTCTGCTTTGTGTTGAGACTTATGCCAGAGGAGCGCTCAGCCTGGTGATGTTGACCATTGTGGTGTCGCTGCATGAAACTCCTGCCATCCATCCAGCTCGCTGACAGGACAGCTCACACTACACTTCGCCTTAAAGACAGGGCGTTCGGAGCCCTGTCTTCTTACTGTGACATGACGGTGTGCAGTGTAAGCAAGCCAGCAGAAGTGTTGTGAAACACTGTGGCCTTGAAATGGCTGGTACGATCTCTGCTGAGCTGTGAGCGGGCAGGGCAGGGCTCAAAGCCCTGTGACCAGTACCCTGCCGTCGTGCAGGAGGGCAGCTGCAGACAGCACACAGGCGGTGTTCCAGAAGGTGGGCCCTGACATTTGAATTTCATAGTCATTCCACGCGGCATGTAATATCTTTATTTTTTCCCCAACCATTTGAAAATATACAAACATTATTTATTAAATTTATCTATGGCCTTGAGGCGCAGCACGTGAGATCTTGGTTCCCCGACTAGAGCGAACCTGGGCGCAGGGCAGTGCAAGCGCAGAGTCCTAACCACTGGACCACCTGCACATTTTCTGTTTTAACTGGTTTTAGCTCACAAGTTTTTTAACGGGGGGGCGGGCTTGCCCTGTGGCTGGTCTTCCTTGTCATGTATGAGGATGTATGTATCTCAATGTGTCCCATTCTTAGGGCCTGTCTGACCAGCGGTGCTTGCTATTCTGTGCCTGTCTTTCGAGGGGCTGGGTTTCGGGAGATACTTAGTCGCCCTGGTTGTATTGTCTTTGTGTCTGAGGTTTTCCCTCCATCTGCGGAATTTGCTTTTCCGTTTATATCTGTGTGTTATGACCAACCTAGACAGCGTATTAAAAAGCAGAGACATTACTTTGCCTACAAGGGTCTGTCCAGTTAAAGCTATGGTTTTTCCAGTGGTCATGTATGGATGTGAGAGTTAGACTGTAAAGAAAGCTGAGCACCAACGAATTGATGCTTTTGAACTGTGGTGTTGGAGAAGACTCTTGAGAGTCCCTTGGACTGCAAGGAGACCCATTCAGTCCATCCTAAAGGACATCAGTCCTGAATATTCATTGGAAGGACTGATGCTGAAGCTGAAACTCCAATACTTTGGCCACCTGATGTGAAGAACTGACTCATTTGAAAAGCTGGAAAGGATTGAAGGCAGGAGGAGAAGGGGACGACAGAGGATGAGATGGTTGGATGGTATCACCGACTCAATGGACATGAGTTTGAGTAAGCTTCGGGAGTTGGTGATGGACAGGGAGGCCTGGTGTGCTGCAGTCCATGGGGTCACAAAGGGTTGGGCACGACTGAACAATGGAACTGAACTGTGTGTTATGGGAGGTGGTGGGGTGCCAGGCTGTGGCATCGGAACAATTGCTGGGCAGAGGAGGTGGCCTTCTTCACGCACCTCAGTGTGCATGTCTGTGACATGCTCTCCCGTCTCTGTAGCCTGCATGCTCTCCTGTGGGTTGTGTGCGGGTGGTGTGTGGTCTGTTGGTCTCAAGGGAGTGAGTTCTAGCCTGAGAGAGAAGGAAGCTCTCTTGATAAGGATACTAGGGAAGGGATGGCACCAGTGAGTATAAAAGTGTGTAAGGGGCCAAGCTGATTAACATTTAATTGTTAGAAGTATGATCTTGTCCCTGGTCATTCCTAAGGTGTGTCATGGATTTGAGCCTCTGATGCCATCTTGCTCTGGGTACTGGTTTCTCCAACTCCAGAGAGCTGCAGCTCTGGTGTCTCCAGATCTCCCCTCAGTTGGGTTAATGCACAGAACAGACACATAAAAACACACTTACATGTAAACTCAGGCACAGGGGCACGCTAAAGTGCAACCTTATTTGGCACCCCTAAGAACGCACAGTCAATAAGTTTTTGAAAAGATGCTTATCTTTACTGATAACCAAGGAAGTGCAAGTTAAGACAACACTGAAACGTCTTTGCCTATCAGATTGGCAAAGATTTAAAAGACTGCTATCAAATGCAATTGGTGAGGGCTGCAGGCATCCTTACATGTCTGATGGGAGCAGAAGTCTGTGTATTTCTGGGGGGCCACTTGGCAGCATTTGTTTTGAGGTCTTAAGCCTGACAGGTTGCCCCAGCCTGTTTTTTTTTTGTATAGCACTCATCCTGGTGATTAGAGACCCAGGCCTGGAATTACTCACTTAAAATGGCATATTTACACCAGAAAGTAATGCAGTGTTGTATGTCCATTATATATACATCTATGTCCATTAAATTGAAATAGCGGATGTAGGCAACAGTGAAATGGTCCACCAACAGGATTATTAAACCATGGTCTGTACCACCAGTAAAGGCGTGAGGTAGGTTTTTATGTGCTTCTCTGAAAAGAATTTGAAAAGAGCTAAGCAACGAGCAGGCCGTTAAACGAGTGTTTGCTGTAACGTAGACGTGGTCTGGAGGGACTTGTGCCGACTTCCCACGGGGCGGGGGTGGGGGCTCCCATCTTTTATTTCCTTCCTTAAGCGAGCCTGCAGTACTGTTAGGTTTGACTCCCTCTCCACCCACCCCTGTGCTCAGGGATTGCCGAGATGCACCCTGAGCAGCCTGGGAGGCAGGCACTGCTCTGAGCCAGTTCAGTGAGCAGCCCCGCTCACCCAGCAATTGATGGACGGTCCCCAGGCCCACGTGTGGCAGCCTGCCGTCCCTGGGGGTGGAAGGTGGGGTTTATGGTGGGTGCTGGTCCCCTCTCGCCCCCCTTAGAGCCAGCCGCCGCGTTCTGTGCTCGTGGTTTCAGATGTGGGCGGCCTGTGTCAGCCTCCCGCGCTAGGCTCACGTCACTGGTCGGTGCAGTTATCTCCTGAATCAGGCAGAGGGACTTTGCTGCAAGTGCAGGGGCGGCTGGGTGACAAGCCACCTGCAGGTCTCGGGAGCATCACGCCTGCCATGGGCGCCGGCAGCTGCATCTGGAGAGGTGAGTGTCGCCTGGTCAAGTGAGTGTCTTTACTGCTCAAGTCAGCGTGGACACTGGGGGACGGGGCAGGTGGCCCGCCAGCCCCGAGCTCAGGAGGAGCGTGAGGGCCACGTTCAGAAGGGTGGCAGGGCGTTTGGGAGGCCACCCTGGTTCATCAACTCTGTCCTGTCTCGGGCATGTCCTGGCTACAGACATGTGCTATAGGAGTGGCGGGTGTCCTGGCCTGGCCTGTAAGCATCGTGGGTGCCACTGGGCAGAGGGGAGGACGCTGAGCTCGTCAGGTGGAGTTAGCGGTAGGGTGAGGGCCAGGGTCGTTCCTGCCCTCTTGGGGGCAGCACATGGGCATTCTAGGGTCAGGTGGCCTCAGCTTGGACGACTGTGAGTGGAGACGGGGTTCAGTCCTGGGGCTGGTAAAGCCCCTGCTCTCGCCCATGCCTTTGAGAGGCTTTAGGTCTGAAGAGGAGTCTGTGGACTCCCCCTGGGGCCTGTGGGCAGGGCAGCAGGAGAGGGCAGGCTTCCAGGAGGGCTACGCAACTAAGAAGACAGGGAGGAAGAGGGCTCCAGAACCCCCTCCCAGGGCCCCAAGGCGTTAACGTGATTTTCTCCAGGCAAGGGCGGGTCTGGGGGAGGGTCCGGATGTCTCTTCAGTTGGGAGCAGGTGGGAGGGCACAGCATGAATCAGACGCCCTGTGGGAGCCTGATGCCAGAACTGCTGACGTCCAGTGCAGGCTGCTGGCGGGGCCGGGTGGGTGCGGGTGGAGCAGAGTGCCCCACCCCGTCGAACCCCAGGCCGGTGTCTGCATCCTTCCAGCCACGCCGTGGGACGGAAGGCAGCGACGGGGGTGTGGCGGGGAGAGTGAGGGGCTCGTCCCGAGGCCCTCTGTCCCTCCCATTCCCAGCCTCAGCACCTCCCGCCCTTTGTCCTGGCTCCTGCTCTCTGGGCCCCATCCACCCCAGGCCCCCTGCATCCCGCCCTTGCCCCGCCCTGACTCTGGCCTGGCCTTTCTGTGTCCCGGGACGTCCACTGCCCTGAGGCAGGTGCCTGTCCGGCTCGGCCGTCTCAGGACAGGTGGCGAGTGCGCCTTCTTGCCGGCCGGCCTCCCTGCCCTGACGGCCCCACTCCCTGCCCTTGCCCAGCAGGGTCCTCGGCCCTTTGCCCTGGGGTGCTGGGTTGCCGTGGGCGCCGAGTCTCAGGCCCACCTCCCCCGGGAGCCAGCCTCTGGATTCCTTCCTCCCATCCCAGCAGTGAGGGCAGTGGTGAACCAGTGTCATTTCAACCACAGCCTCCATCCCACCCCCTGCATCTGCTACCTTCTGGGATGGGCAGGGAGAGTAACGGGGTTCCCCTCTTTCCCCATGAAAAAATACAGGCTGTGTGAAAGGGGACAGGAAGTGGGTGAAGCCAATCTGGAGGGTGTGGTGCAATGTATAAACCCCGCCCTGCGGGCGTCTCACCTGGTGAGGCCTGGGGGAGCCGAGCCTGGGAGGTCCCGGCAGGGGTCCAGCTGCATGGCAGCCTATGACTTCATGGCAGGCCGGGCTGGTGGGCTGTGGGCTGGTGGTCATTTGGCCAGACCTTGATGCCGAGGCCAGGGAGGAAACAGGGTTGGGAAAAGGGGCTGGAGCGCTGTGTGCTGAAGGCTGTGTCCAAGTGGGAAGGGACAAGCCGGGTGGGGATGTCGGCCCGGTCCCCGCAGGACTGTCGCAGCCGCCCCGCGACCTGTCTCCTCTGGGTGTGATTGGGCTTCCCTGGGGCATCCCGGCGCCTCTTCCAGGATCAGGGAGTAGCTGCTGGGCCTCCTACCCCACCTGGCCCAGTGTCTGCCTCAAGGGCGGGGGAGGCTTGCAGGCTTGTGTAGAAACTAGGGGGATGTGTGCCCAGTCCCGGGGACGGTGCCCCTGATCCAGCCAGCCTGGGGTCTCTGGCCCTCGGCCTGCTCCCCTGTTTGGAGCACAGTGACGGCGCCGCCCCGCCCGACTCGCTGGGTGTGGACGGGAGCTCTGAGCGGAGGGAGCGTGGGGCCTCCCCGCAGATGGCTGTGGGCTGCTTGCCCTGCCCACCTCTCCCCGGGGTGGCTCCAGGCCTGCCACTTGGCACGAGTGTCCTGTGTGGGTCTGTCCTCCTCACGCCTGACCCGGGGGCCGGCTGAGCTAGGAGCCGCCCACTCCATGCTCCTGAGGCAGCCTGTGGCCCTGCTGGCCCAGGTCTCACAGATGCAGTCGTCCCTCCATGCTGTGGCTATGGCTGACCACGCTGGGGCCCGGGCCAGCTCTTGCCTGCAGTGGCAGCTGTGCCCCTGTGTCCTAAGTGCCCCCTGCCCCCCACATCCTAAGTGCCCCCTGCCCCCACATCCTAAGTGCTCCCTCCCCTCACATCCTAAGTGCTCCCTCCCCTCACATCCTAAGTCCCCCTTCCCCCCACATCCTAAGTGCTCCCTCCCCTCACATCCTAAGTGCCCCCTGCCCCCACATCCTAAGTGCTCCCTCCCCTCACATCCTAAGTGCTCCCTCCCCTCACATCCTAAGTGCCCCCTGCCCCCCACATCCTAAGTGCTCCCTCCCCTCACATCCTAAGTGCTCCCTCCCCTCACATCCTAAGTCCCCCTTCCCCCCACATCCTAAGTGCTCCCTCCCCTCACATCCTAAGTGCCCCCTGACCCCCACATCCTAAGTGCCCCCTGCCCCCCACATCCTAAGTGCTCCCTCTCCTCACATCCTAAGTGCCCCCTGCTCCCCACATCCTAAGTGCCCCCTGACCCCCACATCCTAAGTGCTCCTGCCCCCCACATCCTAAGTGCTCCCTCTCCTCACATCCTAAGTGCCCCCTGCTCCCCACATCCTAAGTGCTCCTGCCCCCCACATCCTAAGTGCCCCTGCCCCCCACATCCTAAGTGCTCCCTCCCCTCACATCCTAAGTGCCCCCTGCTCCCCACATCCTAAGTGCTCCTGCCCCCCACATCCTAAGTGCCCCTGCCCCCCACATCCTAAGTGCTCCTGCCCCCCACATCCTAAGTGCTCCTGCCCCCCACATCCTAAGTCCCCCTTCCCCCCACATCCTAAGTGCTCCCTCCCCTCACATCCTAAGTGCCCCCTGCCCCCACATCCTAAGTGCTCCCTCCCCTCACATCCTAAGTGCCCCCTGCTCCCCACATCCTAAGTGCTCCTGCCCCCCACATCCTAAGTGCCCCCTGCTCCCCACATCCTAAGTGCTCCTGCCCCCCACATCCTAAGTGCCCCCTGCCCCCACATCCTAAGTGCCCCTGCCCCCCACATCCTAAGTGCTCCCTCCCCTCACATCCTAAGTGCCCCCTGCCCCCCACATCCTAAGTGCTCCCTCCCCTCACATCCTAAGTGCTCCCTCCCCTCACATCCTAAGTGCTCCTGCCCCCCACATCCTAAGTGCCCCTGCCCCCCACATCCTAAGTGCTCCCTCCCCTCACATCCTAAGTGCCCCCTGCCCCCCACATCCTAAGTGCTCCCTCCCCTCACATCCTAAGTGCTCCCTCCCCTCACATCCTAAGTGCTCCCTCCCCTCACATCCTAAGTGCCCCCTTTCCCCCACATCCTAAGTGCCCCCTTCCCCCCACATCCTAAGTGCCCCTTCCCCCCACATCCTAAGTGCCCTCCATCCCCCACATCCTAAGTGCCCCCTGCCCCCCCACATCCTAAGTGCCCCTTCCCCCCACATCCTAAGTGCCCCCTTCCCCCCACATCCTAAGTGCCCCCTGCCCCCCGACATCCTAAGTGCCCCCTTCCCCCCACATCCTAAGTGCCCCTTCCCCCCACATCCTAAGTGCCCCCTGCCCCCCCACATCCTAAGTGCCCCCTTCCCCCCACATCCTAAGTGCCCCTTCCCCCCACATCCTAAGTGCCCCCTGCCCCCCGACATCCTAAGTGCCCCCTGCCCCCCCACATCTTAAGTGCCCCCTTCCCCCCACATCCTAAGTGCCCTCCACTCCCCACATCCTAAGTGCCCCCTGCCCCCACATCCTAAGTGCCCCCCGCCCCCCACCCCCCGCATCCTAGTGCTCCTCTGACCCCGTCTCAGGCTCCCTGAGAGCTGGTTCCCTCCACCCGTGACTGCCATGGCGGTTTGTGGCAGGTGATGCTTTAGTCCAGGGGCGGGTGAGGTCTTCCTGCCTGTTGACCCGACAGGGATCTGTCCTGTGGGTCCATGAAGAGGCTGTGGGGGCGGGGGAGGGCGTCTGCTGCTGGGAGAGTGGGTGCGGGCTCTGAGTGCTTCCGTGTTGCGGTCTGTGCTTGTCTGATGCTTTTCTGAGTCCTTATCACCCATCAGGCTTGCATAACCAGGCTGGCCCTGCTTCCTGCGAAGGAGCTATCAGTGTACTATCTGGGGCTGCAAAAATGGGGTGACAGGGCGTCAGCAGCCTGCTCACCCTAAGGTACTTCATCGCACACAGCCCCCTGCACTAGGAGTCCTGCCCCAGGGTGCTGTCCTCTGTAGGGCTCCTCGGGATGGACCTGTGGCAGACAGTGTGGGAGGTGCTGGCGAGCATGTGGACACCCGCTGCCTTTCCTCTGCTCTCCTGGGGCAGAGCCCTGGGATCAGCTCCTGGTCGGGGACCAGGGATCATGCCCCGCCTCTCATGGTTCTGGTGGGAACTCACGTGGATGATACAGCTTGCACAGTCGGCCCAGGTGTGACACCAGGGGCTCCAGTAGATCTGTCCTTCTGTTGTCATCCACAACCATGCTCCCCCAGCCCTGCCTCCCCTGTGGGAGGGACCTGGGGCCCAGGCTCGGAGTGTTGCCTGCTGGACAGACCTGGACACGTGGCTGATTCGGAGGCCAGTGACCTGGGGCCTGAGTGTGAGCTCCTGCTGGTGCCGCTCCCCTGCGGGCTCAGCCTCCTTCACGGGGTAGGATGAGGGGGCAGGTGGTGACTTGCTTGAAGCGCCCCCCCACAGTGCCACCTCGGGGGGGTGCTCTCTACATGGCGCCTCAGCCCAGCCTTTTCCAGGTTGGACCTTGAAGAGTGAAGTTCTGATGCGAGAGGCGGGCACTTGCTTCCTGCTCTGCGCCTGGCTCGGCCTGGGGGTCCCTGTCCTGGGGGACAGAGGAGGTAAGGGCTGGCTCAGGGTTCGGGGGGTGTGGGTGCAGAGCGCGGCAGGGTCTGGGCTGCTGGTGCTGGTCTTCCGCAGACCATTTGGAGCTTTGGCCCCACCCGAGGCGCACGGTCAAAGCCCGTCCCCTCGGGGCGCCCAGCCCCTCCGTGGTCACCTTGGGGCTCCTTCTCTCAGGCCTGCCCTATCAGAGGGGGTCAGCGCTAGGCCCTCCCCTGCCCCTGCCCCTGCCCCGAGGCAGCCACGGTGGACTTGCCACGGTTGCTGTCCCCAGGGCCAGGGCCTGGGGCTTTCACCTGCTACAATAACAACATCCTCAGGATTGAGTGCCGCTGGCCTAGCCCAACGCCAGGCCAGGGAGCCGGCTCCTGGCTGCTCTTCACCAGGTGAGGCTGAAGGGCAGGGCGGGCGGGGGGCCGGAGGGGGGCCATGGTCCCTTGGTGCCCACGCGCGTCCTTTCCAGCAACCTCGCGCTGGGCAGCGAGCACAAGTGTGTCTTCTGGGCTGGCGTTTGCACCGTGGAGCTGCCGCCCGAGGAGGTCCTCGTGCCTGCTGACAACTTCACCATCACCTTCCACCGCCACGTCTCTGGGAAGGAGCAGGTCAGCCTGGTGGATCCACAGTATCTGCCCCGGAGACACGGTGAGACCTGGGTCGGGCATGTTGATGGGGAACCCCCTGACCACAGAGCCCACCGCCCATAACCCCCGCCACCCAGTCAGTGCTCCCGGTCCCTGCGGACAGATCCAGGGCTTGCAGCAGGTGGGGCCCGGGGGGCGGGGGGCTCGGCTCTGGAGGAGGATGGAGGTGCAGGGCTTTGAGTCGGGGCAGGAGCTGCAGCGTGAGCCCCTTGAAAGGCACTTCAGGTGCACCAGGAAGAACGTGCAGCAGCTGCTTAGATTTGAGACACGCCTTCGCTGCCTCGGGTTGGAGGAAGTCATAGCTGTCTCGTCCCACCTGGGCCTTCTCTGGACCAGTCTCCCAATAAGGTCTTGTTCTGAGAGGGCCTCGGTCACACCCTCATCTTTCCCGGGAATCTTTCTGATCCCCAGTCTCGGACGTGCTGACCCACACACCCTCACGTGGCTTTGTACTGTTTCAGTGAAGCTGGACCCCCCCTTGGACTTGCAGAGCAACGTCAGCTCTGAGCACTGTGTCCTGACCTGGAGCATCAGTCCTGCCTTGGAGCCGCTGGCCACGCTCCTCAGCTATGAGCTGGCCTTCAAGAGGCAGGAGGAAGCCTGGGAGGTAAAGCTGGGTCGCCCACCCTGGGTCTCTCCTGGAAGCAACAGGAGACGCTGCTCTTCCCACCCAGGGTGCTCTTACCTTGGAATTATGAGGAAGGCAGTGATCAGAGCCAAGACTATGTGAGTGCAGAGTGTGTGTGTGCGCGCGTGTTCACAGGGCCTGCCTGTGTGGATGAGTGTGCACGCAAGTGAATGGACGTACGCGTGCGGACAGGTGCAGTGTGCCCGTGTGCGTGTCCTCGAGGGCTGACGACCCAGTCTCACCACCAGCACCTCCCGGCTGTCCTTGTCCCCAGTGGGCTCGGCACAAGGATCACATCGTTGGGGTGACCTGGCTCAAACTTGAAGCTGCCGAGTTGGACCCCGGTTCTGCCTATGAGGCCCGGCTGCGTGTCCAGATGGCCACCCTAGAGGGCGAGGTGGCGGAGGAGGAGCGATATGACGGTGTGTGGAGTGACTGGAGCCAGCCTGCCTGCTTTGCTACCCCCCCGAGACGAGGTGGGCACTGCCGTGGCCGCTGCCCCCAGGGTCTGGGTGGGGCCCCTGCCTGCCTCCGAGTGTCCCACCTTTCCCCCTCCTACCCCCTCTCCCTGAGGTGGTCAACAGGGTCAGCTTGGGGTTCTCCCGGGAGCGACTGTGGCCCCAGGCCCCGCTGCTGCCCATGGAGCCAGGTGTGGCCTCGTCTGCTTAGGGTGGCCTGGCTGACCCCGTGGACGGAGGTCCTGAAGGGTCGCAGACCCTGTTGACCCTGTGGATGGAAAAGGCGAGGCCCGGGGGTGGGTGCCTCACCAAGGTGCTCTTGCATGCATGAAACAAACCTCCAGGGCCTGTCACGTACTTTCCCTGTGGCCCAGGTGCTCGTCTGGATGCCTTGCCAGGCGAGTCAGAGGGACACAGCCCTGGTCCTTCTCACCGCAGGTGGCCTGGTCCCGGCTCTGGGGCAGGCCGACAGCACCCTGGTCGCTGTGTCCATCTTCCTCCTGCTGAGCAGCCTGACCTACTTACTGTTCAAACTGTCGCCCAGGTGGGTAGCCAGGGGTGTGTGTGAGAGCATGTGCTTGTGTGCGTGTGATCGTGTGTGGGAGCGTGTGCTTGTGTGCGTGTGATCGTGTGTGGGAGCGTGTGCTTGTGTGCGTGTGATTGTGTGTGGGAGTGTGTGCTTGTGTGTGTGTGATCGTGTGTGTGTGTTTGGGCATGGGGTCAACAGTGCGTTGAAGATCCAAACCTGCAGCCCCTCCCCGCATGCTCCTGGATGGGGAGGGGTTTCAGGCCTCTGCCCTGGACCAGTGGGGAGTTCCCAAGTTGCCACATGCATGGGGGTGGCAGGCAGTGTGTTCCCAAAGAGCCCTGGAGGGACCCAGAGGCACCGGGCTGTGGTTTGAGCTCTGTCTCCTGCCTCTGGAGGTGTCAGCCCGTTGCCTGGTGTGGGGACAGTGGTGGGTGTCTGGTTTCCATGGGCCCCTGTCCCTGGCCCTGGGGGATGCCGCTGAGATCCAGATGAATGCAGAGGCCCTCCCGAAACAAGCCATCACATGGTCAGGTGACAGGGGTGCAGGGCTGGCCCCACAGGAGGCTGGCCAGGTGTGGACAGGGAGCAGAGAGGGTGAGAGGCGGCTGGACAGAGAAACCCTGGGCGAGGGAGGGGTCAAGCTTTTCCTTGGGTCAAAGGAAAGCCCCTGAAGCCTGGCCACACGTGATGTGACCTGGCTGATGTTTTGAGAGAGGAAGTTCATGGTACAAGTGAGGAGGAGGCCTGCGGGGCAACCAGCAGTGGTGTCCAGACGGAGGCAGGTGTGGGAGCTGGCAGGAGAAGCAGAGATGGAGCAAAGAGGAGGGAAGTGCCAGGGTCTCAGGAACAGAAACTGACGGGACGTGTGGGTGCATGCGACGTGACCTGTGGCCCCTGAGGCCAGCCCTGGTGTGGGGAATCCGGCCAGGCCCCTGGGGAGGCTGCTGAGGTTGACCTGGACCTGCTGGGCTGGAGCCCAGTGTGCCGTCCTCAGGGGAGGACCACTGGGTCCTGGGTGGGTAGATGCTCAGGAAGAAATCAGGCGGGCTTCCTGGAGGTGCTGTCTCCCTCTCAGACTGAGGACAAAGCTGGGCAGCTCCATTGCATGGCTTGGTATAACTCAGTTCTGTGGGGTCACCTGCGCGGGGGCCATAGGTGCCAGGTGTCAGACCTGGACCCAGTGAGGGGAGAGCGCACACGGGACAGGGACAGGCCTGCTGCCAGAAGGAGCCGAGGTCCCTGCAGTGACTGCTGGAGCGGGGCTGTGAGGAGCGCCTGGCCAGGTCTCTGCAGCCTCTGACTGCTGTCTCCTGGCTGCAGGATGAAGACAGCCTTGTACCAGGACGTGCCGTCCCCAGGCCCATTCTTCCAGCCTCTGTACAGCGTGCACAACGGGGACTTCCAGGTTTGTGATCCTGCGGGCCAGGGCTGGGGGTGGGGCCGGGGTGCCCAGATGTCCGGCCTACCCAGGATGTGGGCTTGGGGGAGGCTTGGGGGCCTCTGTCAGTGCTTTGAGCTTTTTTAGTGTATACAGTGGCCTGTAGAGTATATATGTAGATATACACACACTGTGACTCAAATGGGCAAGAAGAAAATCAGCTTTGTCGTCTTGCTGAGTTCTTTTTCCTCTTGTGTCTCTGATTTCATTGCTGATGGAAAAGCGTGAAGATTCTTGTGACATTGCCTCTTCTGGTTTGCAGCAGCCCTTTGAGGTGCCAGCTCGGGGGGCTGTGTCTTCTGCTGCTCTGGGGCCGTCCCTGGTCCCTGGGCTACTCTGGTGGCCACTGTGGAGGGCCTGGCCCCTCCAGGCCCGCTGGGTGGTTGTGATGAGTTGATCTCCCACCCCCGACATGCTGCCTTTGTGGGCTCTCACAGGCCATGCTGAGGACAGCCTGGTGGCCCACGGTTCCTGCTGCTGGCCGGGTGCCCCAGCCCCACAGGCGGAAGGAGCAGCAGGGGAGCTCTACAGTGGTCGCTGGTGCCACTGTCTCAGGCCCCTTGCTTTGTCAGAGGATGTCTGGGGGTCTGCTGACCGGCTCTGCCCAGGTTCTCCCTGCTGGCCCTGCACGGCTGGGTTCCACCTGGCCCTTTTCTCTCTTAACAGAAAGTATGGTTTTTAAGGTTGTCATCAAGAGAGACGATTTGGAGCTTAAAGCTGAGCCCTTGATCAGGGCTGTGGGGCAAAGGTTACCCTGAGCTCCCCTTCTGGGCTGTAGGCACCCAGCCCCTTGCCTGTAGAACCACAGGAGCTGCCGGGGGTTAGTTAGACCCCCCCAGGAAGTGGTCTGGAGCCACGGACTGGCTCTCCGATGGAAGGTGTGTATGCTGCACTCGATGGAGATCCCTGGCCCCATGTAGGAAACAGCTTCTTAAAAAATTCTTTTCCATGATGGTTGGTCATAGGGTATTGGCTCTACAAGAGGATCTTGCTGTTTATCCGTCGTGTATGTTAGTTTGTGTCTGCTAGCCCCAAGCTCCCAGAATATCCCTCCCCCACCCCCTTGGCAATCGCAAGTGTCTTCTATGTCCAGGAGCCTGTTTCTGTTTTGTAGACACGTTCACTTGTGTCGTATAAGTCATCTCACATGGTATTTGTCTTTGTCTGACTTATTTCACTTAGTATGACAATCTCTGATTACAACCGTGTTGCTGCAAATGGCATTATTTCATTCTTTTTATGGCTGAGTTATATTCCATTGTGCGCGTGTGTACACATACACACACACACACACACATCTTCTTTATCCATTCACATATTGATGGACATTTAGATTGTTTCTATGTCTTGGCTATTGTGCATAATGCTTCAGTGAACATTGAAGTACATGTATCTTTTTTTAAAAAATTATATATTTTTAATTGGAGGGTAGTTTTACAATATTGTGTTGGTTTCAGTTATATATATATATGTATGTATGTATGCATGTCCCTTACCTCTTGAAACTCCCTCACATCTCCCACCCCTCTAGGTTGTCACAGAGCATCAGATTTGAGCTCCCTGCCTCATATAGCAAAGTTCTACCAGCTGTCTAATTTTACACATGTGATGCATGTATCTTTTTGAATTAGAATTTTGTCTGGATATATGCCCAGGTGTGGGATTGCTGGATCATATGGTAGCTCTGTTTTTTTCTTTTAAGGAGCATCCATACAGTTTTCTGCAGTGGATCACCAGTTTATTCCCACTAACAGTGTAGGAGGGTTCCCTTTTCTCTACACCGTCTCCAGAATTTATTGCTTGTTTTATTTATTTATGTGTCTTTGTTTGTGCTGGGTCCTCGTTGCTGTGTGTGTGCTTTCTCTGGCTGTGGTGAGCGAGGACTACTCTCTGTGGCTGTGTGCAGGCTTCTCCCTGCAGTGACGTCTCTTGTGGGGAGCATGAGCTCTAGGCCTGTGGGCTTCTGTACTCACAGCACGCGGGCGCAGTAGTTGTGATGCACAGGCTTAGTTGCTCCATGGCACGTGCGATCTTCCTGGACCAGGGATCGAACCCACGTCCTCTGCATTGGCAGGTGGATTCTTATCCACTGTACCACCAGGGAAGCCCTATTTGTAGTTTTTAATGATGGTCATTCTGACCTGTGTGAGATGGTACCTCATTGTAGTTTCTATTCGCATTTCTCTAATAATTACTGATGGCGAGCATTGTTTCATGTAACTCTTGGCCATTTGTGTTTCTTCTTTGGAGAAATGTCTTTTTCAGTCTTTCGCCCATTTTTTGATTTTTTCTTTCGTTGATGTTGTTAGTGAGTTGTATGAGCTGTTTGTATATTTTAAAAATTAATCCCTTGTTGGTCACATTGTTTGCAAATATTTTCTCCTAGTATGTATGTTGTCTTTTCATTTTGTTTATGGTTTCCTTTGTTGTGGAAAAGCTTGTTAGATTGATTAGGTTGCATTTGCTTATTTTTATTTCTGTTGCCTTGGGAGACTGACCTGTGAAAACTTTAGTATGATTTATGTTAGGGAATGTTTTGCCTATGTTCTCTTCTAGGAGTCTTATGGTGACATATCCTATGTTTAGATCTTTAAGTCATTTTGAATTTTTTTGTGTGTACATGGTGAAAGGGAGTGTTCTAACTTTTTTTGTGTGTGCATGGTGAAAGGGAGTGTTCTAACTTCGTTGATTTATATGGAGAAACAGCTTCCTTTTGGAGGTGGGGGGCCTCCTGTGGTCCCACAGAGGGGTCCAGGTCTGCTGACCTTGGCCCAGAGGTGCTAGGCCCAACAGCACCGCGTGTGTGCATGTGTGCATGTGTGTGCGTGTGTGTGCATGTGTTTGTGTGTGTGTGTGGGTAGTGGGGTTGGGTGAGGGGCCTGTATCTACACTCTGGCTTAGGCCTCTGTGAGCCCCGGGCCCTGTGCGGGCGGGGGCGGGGTGTGGGGAGGAAGGGGGCCTGTGCCGAGGCTGGGCTGGCCCATGGCGGGTGGACAGGGCGCTCTGGGCCTCTGGGTGTGGCTGTCTGGAGAGCTCTGTGGAGAAGGGGCGGCTGCTCCCATGCTGAGTCCTGAACACGCCTCCTGAGGCCTGCCCTCCTCCTGTTGCTCTGTTCTAGACCTGGATAGGGGCCTGTGGAGCCGGCCCACAGGCCGGCCGGGACTGTGTTGGCCCCCCACGAGGAGCCCTCCTGGAGGCCCGTGTCCGGGAGGCCGTTGCTTTGCTGCACTGTGACCCAGCGGACGCCTGGCCGTCGGCGGGCCTGGAGGAGGAGGGCGGCCCTGGGCCCGGGCTCCCAGCAGGTGTGCCGCCAGCGGGACACGTGGAGCAGGCGGCGCCGTCGCCCGCCTACCTGCCTCAGGAGGACCGGGCCCCTGCTGGCCACCCCTGGCTGGCGCCCCCCCAGGGTGAGGGTAGCAGTGGTGACTACTGCGCCCTGGACTGCTCTGCGGGGAGCTGACCCCTGCCTTCCCGGGAAGCGTGGAGCTCTGTGCCCCCCCACCACACCGCCGCCTCCCCCACCCCTCATGGCATTTTCTGTGACTGGTCGAGCCTGGACTCCCAGCCGGGAGGTGCTGTGTGGACAGGCCCGCGGTGCTGCAGCCTGTCCATCCTGCAGCTCGTGGACCAGCGGCCCTGGAGCTGACCTGTGACTGGCACTGGACCTCCTGCGCAGGACCACCCATGTGGTGGTCAGGTGTCGGGTCTGGGTGGAGGCAGGTGGGCTCTCTCCCCACCCCACACCTGTGGGCCTGGGCCTCTGCCCTCAGCGTCCTGCCATCCTGGCCCCCATCCACCATTCCCCTCCCTGCTTCCGGGCTTAACCCCAGGCCCCTCAGAGAAGCGAGGTGTTGGCCCCACAGCCTGTTCTGCCCTCAGCCCCTTGAGAGGCCAGTCTGGGCCCCGTGGACACAGGTGAGACGCAGCGATGAGGCCGAGGGTCCGCTTTCTGTGCCTCCCTGGGCTCCCTCCCCTACCGAGATTAAAAGGGACGAATGGCTGTTTCAAATTGCTGATGGCTGGGGGGCGGGCCCAGAGGACATAGAGGGGAGCTGGGGTCTGCTGCTCGGGGTTTCTGGGGGGTGCTCAGTGACCAGCTCAGGGAGGCCCCCTGCTCCTCCTCCTCCTCATCCTGCCAGGGACCCCAGGAAGCTGCGAGCTATGGCCAGAGCCCCAAGGGTCAGGGCCAGAGTGACCGCCTGCCATGGCCTTGGTCTGTGAAGGGCCCTGCCTGTCACCTTCTCCGTGGTCTGGAGAAAGGGGGGCAGGGCAGAGGGCGCCTGTCTGTCCCCCGGTGCTGCTGCAGCAGCATACCACAAGCTGGGTGGCTTAGAACAGCAGAAATCCATGGTCTCGCAGTTCTGGGGGCCGGAAGTGTGAAATCACAGTGTTGGCGGGGCCGTGGGGGTACCAGCGAGGACCTGACTCAGGCTGTGCGTGGCTTGGGTGATTCCTGGCTTGAGGCTGCACAGCTCCAGCCTCACAAGGGCCCTGACTTCTGTCCAGAGCCCCTCTTTATTCCAGTGTCATCACAGTGGATCAGGGCTGACCTGAAAGACTTGCTCTATTTTGGCTGAATTATGGGCTGAGACCCTGTTTCTATAAAAGGTCATGTTAGCAGGTACTGGAGTAGGACTTCCCCTTTCTGGGCAGTGTCCCTGCCTCTACCAGACGTCTCTGAATCCCTGCTGGTCCTGGGGTGCCAGGGTCCCTCCTGGGCCTCCCTAGCACTCTCCCTGGGTCTCACACACAGACCCTGTCCCTTCTGGCTGCGGAACTTGGGTCTGGCACTGGGGTCATCTGTTTAGCAAGGGTGGCCGGGCCTGCCCTGAGGTTGGAAGTGCTGACGTATTGCAGGTGGGGTAGATGGAGGCCTGTCTCCTGGTTGCTGGGCCGGAGAGGCACCTCCCTGTGTTCTGAGCAGAGAGAAGCAAAGCCTCCCCAGGTCCTGAATGCACAGGTCCCTCTGGCTCAGACAGGCCCCCCACCCCACCCCACTGCATGCTGTAGAGCCCTGAGGCTTGTGGAGAGCCACAGACGGGACCAGGCAGGACCCCAAGTGTATCTTTAGTTTCCAGAGAGTGGAGGTATGTGGACGGAAGTGAGGTGCAGGCACCCTCTGCTCTAACCAAGGATAAAAATACCAGTGTGAATCCACTTCCTAGAGCCGGCCCTGGGGAGCCCCAGGCCAGTGTATTTATAGTAGCATCTGTGTGGCTCCTGCAGCACATGTGGACCTGAGCCCTGCAGGACTAGATGGCTGGGCACGGTGTTCATTTGACTCACACACTTGGCCCTGCTCTTGCCTGAGTGGAAGCCACTTTTAGAGGCTGGTGGATGTAGATGGGCCATGCCTGCCCCTCAGGACAACCTGAGCCAGGTGCCTATACACAGTGAGGCTCAGGAGACACTAATTTCCACCTCTTCTGGGAAACGACCCTTGGCAGCTGCACGCTGAGAGCCCAAGAGCCCTGACGAGGGGTTGCGGATCCCCATGCGCCTGTGAAGGAGGCCGGGGAGGTGGCCTGGGACCTGACGAGGGAGCTGCCGGAGGGAGGAGCTGAGTGACAGTGTGGCCGGGGCACGAGTATCCAGAGGGTGGCGGGCCGGGCCCGAGGCTCTGCTGAGGCGGGGGCTGCCTGGGGGGCTCAGGGCGCTGTCTCTCTGGCTGTCGATGCGGTGAAATTTATATAGGATGAAATGAACCGTTTTAAAGTGTAGGCTCCTGTGACATTCAGTGCGTCTGTCCTCTGTGCAGCTGTCACCTCTGTCTAGTTTTCACGCTGAGGGGAAACCCTCTAAGCACCCACCCGCCTCTCCACCCTCCCTGTGACCTCCGGCCCCCACAGCCCACTTTCTGTCTTACGATTTACCTACTGTGGATATTTCATACAAACGGCGTGGTATAGTACATGGCGTTTAGTGTTCTTTTCTTTTCCTCTTAGTGTAGTGGTTCTGAGGTTTGTCCACATTGTAGTGGACAGTCTATGGACAGACTGCATGCTCGTCCTTAGACAGATGTTTGGGTTATTTCCGCGTTTTCACTCTTGAGAACTGTGCTGCTATGAAAGATACTGTATAAGTTTTTGTTTGAATACCTGTTTTCAATTCTTTGTGTGTGTTCCTAAGTTTATACTTGATAGATTATGTGTTAACCCTGTGCTCATCTTTTTGAAGAATTGCCAAACTGTTTTCCTCAGTGGCTGCAACGTTACATGCCCATTGGCAGTGTACTGTGGCTCCATGTTCTGCATATTTTTTTCCAACTCTTGTTAGTGTCCTTTTTTTTTCATTTCTTTTTTTTCCTTTTGTGAATTAAGTTGTTTTGATAACAGCCATTCTAATGGATGTGAAGCGGTACCACACTGTGGTTTTTATTTGTGTATCCTTGACAGCTAATGATGCTGAGCAGCTTTTCATGCCATCTGTGTATCTTATTTGGAGATAAGTCCTTTGCCCATTTTAAATTTGGGTTGTTTATCCCTTTGTAGCTGAGTTGTAAGAGCTCTCTGTATATTCTGGACACAAGATGCTTATCAGACTTGTGATTAGCAAATATTTTTTTCTATTCTGTAGGTTCTTTTTTTTTTCACTTTCTTGAGAGGATCCTTTGAAGCACAGAAGCTTTAAGTATTTGTGAAGTGCAGTTAATTTATGTTTTATCTTACTGCCTGTGTTTTTGTTGTCATACCCAAGAAGTCATTGCTAAACCCAGTGCCAGTAAGCACGTGAAAAGATGTTCAGCATCACTAGCCATCAGGGAAGTGAGAAAACCACAGTGAGAGGGAATTCCCTGGTGATCTTATGGTTCGGACTTTGTGCTTTCACTGCCAAAGACCCAGGTTCAATCCCTGGTTGGTGAACTAAGATCCCGCAGCCCTCACGGCTCAACCCACACAAACAAAAACAGAAATAACCCACAGCAAGATACCACTTCGCATCTATTAGAATGGCTACTATAAAAAGAAAAGAAAGAGGAAATTACTGTTGGCAAGGATGTGGAGAAATTGGAGCCCTGAAGAACTGCCGTGCAGCATGTGGAGTCTTCCTGGAGCAGTGACGGGATCTGTGTGCCCTGTGTTGGGAGGTGGATTCACCACCATCAGACCACCAGGGAAACCCCTGTGATTGGTCTTTTTATTCTCTTAACAGCATCTTTCATGAGATAGACATTTTAAACTTTAATAGACAGCATCATTTTTTTTTATTTCATGGACTAGTGTTTGGTGTTTTATTTAAAAACTCATACCAAACCCAAGATTATATAGATTTTCTTCTATAATGGTTATGATTTTGCATTTGAAAAATTAATGTTTGCAGACCATTCTGAGTGAAGTTTTGTGTGAGTTAGAGTATTTGTATCTACGTTCATTTTCCTACGTGGCTGCCAGTTGCTTCCTGGCCATTTGTGGACACACTTCCTTCCTCTATTACACACTTCCTTTGTCTCTTAAACTGTCCGTTGACTGGTCACTTGACTAGATTCACATGGGTCTATTTTTGTGCTTTCTGTTCTGTTCTATGTCTCTCTCTGCTCTCTAGCATCACACTCTTCATTTCTATCGCTTTACCATAAGTTTTTGGGTTTGAACGATGGGTTTCTGTAACTTTGTTGTTTAGTCTTCTGTCATCTCCTTTAGGTTTTGAAACAGCTTGTCAAATATGTTTGGGAGGAATTTGACTGAGATTCTGTTGAATCTACAGAAAGAATGATCCTTTTAACAACGGTGAGTGCATTGCTCGTGAACAAGGAAGAGCTCTGTATTTTATAATTTGTGCTCACCTGAGTGTCACTGTTTTCTGCATGCGTGCATATATATATTTTGTAAGCTTTATACTTCAGGGTTTTAATTTTTGTGGTGCTATTGTAACTTTTTTAGATTACAGATTCCAGGTTGTCCCGTGCATTACTGCTGATATTGCCGTGGTCCCTCTGGGCTGCTGTCACAAACTACCACAGGCAGTGGCCCATCCCATGAACAGTAGAAATCTATGTCTCATTGCTCTGGAGGCTGACAGTCAGGGTTGGGGTACCAACCTGGCAGGGTGAGGACTCTCTTTTGGTGGCAGACTTCTCCTTGTGTCTCACGCGGAGGAGAGGGGCTGGGGACTGTCTCCTTCATAAGGGCACGAGCCCCACTCCTGGGGACCCTGCCCTCATGACCTGCCGCCCGCCAAGGGCGGCCCCGCCTACTGTGTGTGGCTCTGGGGGCACGCAAGCATTCAGACACAGCACTCTTGAAACAGAGAGTCAGTTGACTTAGGTTAACCTTTACTTTGCTTTTTGTTCTCCATTTTCCGATCAAGGCACAGGACTGGTGGGCTCTACTTCAGTTGGAATTTCTAAATTATGATGTTGAATAATCACAGCACTGAATTTCAGAAATTCAGGACTGTCTGAGGGGGTGAACTGGACAATTTACTATTCTGGTTTTTAATGGAAGTATACTCATCATGAAATATTTTTGAAGCAAGTCAAAATTTGATTGGCAGCAGGGAGTCCTGGCATGCTGCCATCCATGAGGTTGCAGAGTCGGACACGATAGAACAGCAACAAATTGTAATAGTATGTAAAATACTGTCTTTTTGTTAGACATTGAAATCCTACATCAGATAAAATGTGGAGTTGACCAGAAAGTTCGTTTTTTTTTCCCATACAGTGACTCTAGTAGCGCTTAGTTGTGTTTAACTTCATTCAAAAGAAGGAATTTTATTAGATTGTAATGTGACAACTGTCAGACCAGCATGCATTTAAAAATAGCTTACCAAAATTGGTAGATTTTTGTATAGCCATTTTAGTAATGAAAATGGAAGGAAAAAAGCAACGTTTTCAGCATATTATGCTTTATTATTTTAAGAAAAATAAAAGTGCAACAGAAATGCAAAAAAGATTTGTGCAGTTTATGGAGAAGGTGCTGTGACTGATTAAATGTGTCAGAAGTGGTTTGTGAAGTTTCGTGCTGGAGATTTCTTGCTGGTTGATGCCCCACAGTCAGGTAGACCAGTTGAGATTGATAGTGATCAAGTTGAGATTTTTTTGAGGACAATCCATGTTACACTACGAGGGAGACAGTGGGCATACTCAAAATATCCAAATCAGTTGTTAAACATCATTTGTACCAGCTTGGTTAGGTTAATCACTTTAATGTTTGGGTTCCAAATAAGTTAAGAAAACCTTCTTGATCTTACTTTCACATGTGATTCTCTACTTAAACATAAGGAGAACGTTCTGTTTTTAAAGCAAATTGTGACAAGCGATGAAAAGTGGATACAGTACAATAATGTGGAATGGAAGAGATTATGGGGGCAAGAAAATGAACCACCACCAGCCACACCCAGGTTGGTCTTCATCCAAAGAAGGTGATGTCATGTATATGGTGGGAGTGGAAGGGAGTCCTCTATTATGAGCTCCTTCCAGAAAACCAAACGAGTAATTCCAATAATGCTCCCAATGCTCTTCAGTTAGACCAACTGAAGGCAGCACTTGACAAAAGGTGTGTGGAATTAGTCAACAGAAAACATAATCTTCCATCAAGATACTGTAAGACCACGTGTTTCGTTGATGACCAGGCAAAAACTGTTAGCAGCTTGTCCGGGAAGTTCTGATTCATCTGCTGTGTTCACCAGACATTCCACCTTCAGATGTTCATGTATTTCAGTCTTTACAAAATTCTCTTAGCGAAGAAAATATCAATACCCTGGCAGAGTGCCAAAGGCACCTGGAACAGTTCTTTGCTCAAAAATATAAAAAGTTTTGGGATGATGGAATTATGAGTTGTAAGTTGCCTGAAAATTGGCAGAAGGTAGTAGAACAAAATGAATATGTTGTTCAATAAAGTTCTTGGTGAAAATGAAAAATGTGTCTTATCTTTACCTAAAGACCAGAGGAACCCTTTTGCTAACCCAATATGTAAGTGTAGCTTGATATTAAAATCAGAATGTGTTAAAGGTCAATGAACCTTCAGTTGTTAACGGTAAGCCAGCATTTCTTTTTGCAGTTTTGAATTGGTATTGAGCTGGTGTGAGGTGATACCTCTTTAGACTTTTGATTTGCATTTCTCTGGTAATTAGTGATGGTGAGCGTTTTTCTTGTGCGTCATGGCAGACACTAAGACTTCCTCAGAAACACCCTCCGAATCTCCGGCCCATGTCTTCTGGGCCTGTTGGTGTTTTTATATTGAGCTGCAGGAGCCGTTTGCTTTGCAGATGAATTCTTGGGGTCATGTTTGCAGATATTTCCCCTCTTCTTAGGGTTGCCTTTGTCTTTCCTTTAGGGTTTCCTTTCCTGTGCAAACTTTTTAAGGGATGGTTAGCTCCTGTTTTCTTATTTCATGTTTATTTTTCATTATTCTAACAGGTGGATTGTAAAAGAACTTGATGTAGTTATTGGAAAAGTGTGTCTTTTCTATATTTTTCTCAAGAATTTCACGGTATCCGAGTTTCCGCGAAGATCTTTATACTTTGTGGAGTTTATTTCTGTGTGTGGTGTTAGGGAGTCTTCTCGTCTCCTTCTCATTTTCATTAAGTAACCTCCACACTATCCTACGTTGTGGTTGTTACCAGTGCATCCTGGGCATTGGTGCAGGAGGCTTCCCTTTTCTCCACATCCTGGGCAGCACGTGGTGTTTGTATAGTTTTTGATGATGGCCATTCTGACTGATGTGAGGT